AATGACCCCCTGGGGGCAGGGTGGCCACGCTGCAATCCTTTTTCCTCTAGGGATTTTTGGGCACAGAAGCAGATGCGCCCAGTATGATTTTCAAGCCACCTTGCCTGGGACTCAAACTGCCCGGTCAACCCTGTGGGACCCAGTGCCTTAACCTCTATGCCACCTGCTAGTCTTTTTCCTTTAAAAAAAAAAATTCCACTAGCATCATAATTTGTGCAAAGTTTATGAATATTTGGTCAAGTGTGCTCTCTCAGCCCACACCTAGTGAAGCAAGAATCCATGTGCATCTGAGGTGGGCCCAACCCTGCCCCTTTAACCAAAAAGCCTCTGTCCCAAAGGTATCCTTCTGGACCAGTGCTTAGTGAAATGAGTTAGGGTGGTTTCTGTCTTCTTTCTGTCTCTGTCTCTCTCCCTTTCTTTCAAAATTTTTCTTTTCATATATTTTAAATATATATGTATATATATATGTGTGGGTTTTTTTTGAGAGTTTTTTTGCTATAGGGTGTGTGCGCTTGCCAAACAGACAGAGGGAGACAGAGAGACAGAAAGCGAGAAATCACCCCCCAGGGGGGATGGCCATGCCACAATCCCTTCTCCTCCATTCTCCTCTCAGGATCTTGGGCATACACGCGTGCCCGGCGTGAGTTTAAGCCACCTGGTCCGGGACTTGAACTGCAGTCGACTACATGGGAGTTCAGTGACATAGCCGTTATACTAAGTGCTGGTCCCCCAAATTTCCCCCTTTCATTGTTTTGTTTTGTCTTTTTCCTTTTTTTTCCCTTTTCTTTTACTTGACTTTCTCACCTTGCTTCTCAGCTTGAAGGATAATGTCTGGACAGGTCTAGGTGCACAGTAGTGAAACATCTGAATTCTTTTAGGGTCATAGAAAACCTCAATCCCTGTTACAGAAAGGGAGAAATTCATCTTCATAATCTGAATTCAAATTTCTTTCTGAGGATACCATGTTGCAAAACGTAGTAGAGAAGAAATAGGCATAGAAGTACCTCACAATAAAGTGAAGCATATTAGTTTACAGTAGCAGAAATCTCCCACAAATTAGCCAAATGTGAATATACCACCAAATGACTAAAACTCAGAGAAGAGAGACTGCAAAGTGGGCAGCAGGGAGAAACAGAGAGTTACAGTAAGTGCGGCTCATCTCTTCCCACACACCTCTGAATTCTTAGTTGAAACCCCACAGCTCAGTCCAGTTGCCCTTTTCCCCTAGAAACTGTGAGGCCTTTGTAATATCCAGTTTCATTGACAAAGGTACAGGTTGCTTGATGAAAGTCAGGGAAGTGGAACTGCAGAAATATTACAGGTCATCTCCTTCCACATGCCTCTAACACTCAGAATTAAGTCCAAGAAAGTAGGATGCAATGTATAATCCATCAGATGACCAGAAACTACCACAGAGACACAAGAAATATGAAAACCAAGAAAATATCTCTCCTCCAAGGGGAAAGAACAGCTCTTCATCAACCACAGACAGTACAATGGAACTCATAGAAATGTCAGATAAAGAATTTAGAATTTTCATAGTGACAAAACTAAAAGAGATGCGAGAGAAGAGAGACAATGAAGATGTAGGAGAAAAGAGACAAGTTCCAGGAGGTGAGCAAGTTCTTGCATGATCTGAAAGAGGAAATACACACCATTAAAAAGAATCAAATGTAACTGTTAGAGATGAAGGCTGTAATACAGGAAATCAGAACCATCCTAGAAAGTATTAAAAGCAGATTAGATCATGCAGAAGATGGAATCTCTGATGTAGAAGACAGAACCTCTGACCTAGAAAAATTCACCAAAAAGACTAAGAAAATACCCCTCCCCAATGAGAATAATAAACGAGTAACATTAGATACCAAAACATCCAGATAATCAGTATCCCAGAAGGTGAAGAGACTAGTAACAACATTGATAATCTATTTCATGAAATCCTGGAAGAAAACTTTCCAAACCTAGAGAGGCATTCAAATATCCAGACCTAAGAAATACAAAGGACCCCACATAGAATCAACCCAAGAAGATCTTCTCCAAGGCACATCATAGCCAGAGTGACCAAAACCACAGAGACAAGATACTAAAACCAGTGAGAGAGAAAGGTCAAGTTACTTTCAAAGGATATCCCATCAGACTAACATTGGACCTCTTGTTGGAAACATTGCAAGCAAGGAAAGAATGGGAAGATATATTCAAAGTGTTAAGCAAAAACAATTTGAACCAATAATACTGTATCCGGCAAGATTATCCTTCATACGGGAAGAAAAGCCTGAAACATTCTCAGATAAACAAAACCTGAAAGAATTTATCAACACCAGACCAGCTCTTTGACAAGTTCTGAAGGCAGTATTATACCAGGAAAACTAAAGACAAATAGATAGAAATAAGAGATCAAAAAATGAACAAGAAAAAGGTCAACTTAATGGAGGGATAAGTCTGGAAATATCAATACTAATACAGAATGTTAACTTCCAGGATTTAAATGGAAAGATCAGTCCCTTGTAGTACACAAATTCAACAAAAGAGATTACATGAGTCCAAACTGGTGAAAGAGAATTCTATGAATTTTGTCTAAAACATTACTGATTTTCTTCTATGCTTTTTCTTCCAGATTTTTTTTTTTTAATTTCTTTTGGAGAGGTTTTTGCTATAGGGTGCGCACGCTCGTCAGAAAGACAGAAAGAGAAAGACAGAAAGCGAGAAATCACTCCCCAGGGATGATGGCCATTCTGCAATCCCTTCTCCTCCATTCTCCTCTTGGGATCTTGGGCATGCATGCATGTACATGCGCCGGGCGTTGAGTTTAAGCCACCAGGTCTGTGACTCGAACCAGGGTCAACTCATGGGAGTCCAGCGACATAGCCATTACGCCAACTGCTGGTCCCTTTGTCTTCCATATTTAAGGATTTTGGTTTTCTTTGGCATTGTTGATAGGTTCAGCAATTTGTTAAAAATTTTTTTTTTAAATTGAAACAAACTTTTCTCTCTTCCTGATGTCAGCCCTTTGCAATTGGAAAATATTGTGAGCATTCTTATTTTGTGGCAGAATGGTTATTTGCATAAGTTCAATAATACAATAGTATCTGTTGCCTTGCATCAGAAATTGAATTCTTATGGGGCTTTGTGCAAATAACAGACCAAATTGAGATTAACATTATTTTTTTTTGCAAATACGTTAGTTTATACTCCGCATTAGTAAAAAGGGGAATGAAGAAAGAAAAAAAATGTCTGAGAAGAAAATTAAAGTGCACGTATTGCTAGATTCTAGTTTTGTCTCTGCCAGAGAGACAGAGACAGAGAGACAAGAAGGGAGAAAGTGAGAAAGCACCCTCCATGGGGAGATGGCCATATTGTAATTCCTTCTTCATTCTCCACTTGAGATTTTGAGCATGCACACACGCCCAGTGTGCTGCTGCTGTGTTTTTTTTTTTTTCTTTTGCCTTAGGGTACATGTACTTGCCAGAGAGAGACAGAACCAGGGAGAGTGAAGTGAGAAATAATCACCCAGGGGAGATGGCCATGCTGCAATCCCTTCTCCTCTATTTTCCTCTTGGAATTTTGGGCACACATGCATATGTGCCCAATGTGATTTTCAAGCCATTAGGTCTCAGACTCGAACTGTGGTCAGCTATGTGGGATCTAGCCACCTTAACTACCATACCACCTGTTTGTCCCTGATCGTGATGATTTATGCGGGAAGAAAAAAGCAGGGGAAAAGGGCCCTATTTTAAATTTTAAAAGAAAATGTAAAGATAATAATATATAAATGTCATTGAACATATGATTTCAACAACAAGAGAGCATGAAGTAAGAATTAAGAAAAACTGGGCCTGGTCAATATGTGGCATGGAAGTTAAGGTGGCTGAATTGCACTGTGCAGTTTGAGTCCCAGATAACAACCTGAAGAGCATTTTAGGCCTCTTAGCAAATAGCTCTTTTCTACCACTGTTGCATCATTGGCCTGCCTCTCTTGTCTCTGTGCATGACTCCTCTTCATCCTCTAACTGGGAGCTAGAGGGCACCTGGTACAGCCAGGCTGGCTAGGCACTTTGAAGGGCTCTAGTGCCCATGTGCATGCCTATCCACTGCACATGTTCACACTTAACACAACTGCTGTTTGCTTACTGCCTCCCACTAGACTGCCCTCAGCTATCCCCAAGGGCTGGGTTTCAACCTTTATTCATCTTTTTGTCATTGTTTATATACAATATCAGGCAGATACAGTTTTAAATACTGTTTATAAATTAATGAGTCATGTTTTGTGCCACTGATAGGAATTTAAATATGGTGCTATATCTTAAAATATATATATATATGGCCACTGAACAAAGTTAGGTAACTTTTAGGGAGAATTTGTCAGCTCTAAGCTGTAATTCTTACATCTTTATAGCATAAGAAGTAAAATAATTTCTGTTTGACCAGCATAGTCATACTTTCCACAAGAAACCACTATGCCTAGCAATGTGTGACAAAGAAACCCTGGTGGAGGGCCAGGTCATGGTGTGGTGGTTAAGATGGTTGCATCCCACAGGCTGACAGCATGGTACCTTTCTGCAAAATTCACAAAGGTATGCAGGAGAGCGCGGTTACTGTAGTGACATTTGCCCAATGTTAAGTGTCTATTATCCCAGACGTGAACAAAATAACACTTCAGAAAGAGTGGCCCTGAATGATCAACAAGGCCGTGGAGGTGCCACTCCAGGTACCTAGCTGTTTCTCCCGTTCCTCACGTCGCTCCCGGGCCAGTCGCTGCCGGTCATCAACCCGTAGCACTGGTGGGGGATCTGCAAATAAGATAAAAAATGTGAGAAGAGTGGATTTAAACTATACACATAGACACACACACACACACACACACACAGAGAGAGAGAGCGCTGATAATATCCTTTTGTCCAGTAAATTCGATGAATACATTATCCCAGACGTGAACAAAATAACACTTCAGAAAGAGTGGCCCTGAATGATCAACAAGGCCGTGGAGGTGCCACTCCAGGTACCTAGCTGTTTCTCCCGTTCCTCACGTCGCTCCCGGGCCAGTCGCTGCCGGTCATCAACCCGTAGCACTGGTGGGGGATCTGCAAATAAGATAAAAAATGTGAGAAGAGTGGATTTAAACTATACACATAGACACACACACACACACACACACAGAGAGAGAGAGCGCTGATAATATCCTTTTGTCCAGTAAATTCGATGAATACAATATTACTATGTCTTACAACAACTACTACTTGTAATACCTACAATGATATTGTTTATTAAAATTATAAACTTTATGAGATTTTTCCAAGCACTTTTCTTCTATTTAAAAACATCATGGGGAGGGTGGTTAAGGTGCTGGAGCCCCACATAGCCAGCTGTGTGGTTTGAGTCCCAGACCCAGTGGCTTAAAAATCATAACAAATGAACAAACAAATAAACAAAATAAAGGTTTAAAAAACAACACAGAACACTCTCAAAAAAAAAAAAGAAAGAAAAAGGGAACCAGCAGTTAGCGTAATGGCTATGTCGCTGGATTCCTACATAGTGGACTGCTGTTCGCGTCCCGGACCCGGTGGCTTAGAACTCACACCGGGCGTGTGTGCATGTGTGCCCAAGATCCTGAGAGGAGAATGGAGGAGAAGGGATTGCGGCGTGACCATCCCCCCTGGGGGGTAATTTCTCGCTTTCTGTCTCTATGTCTCTCTCTGTCTGTGGCGAGCGCATGTGCCCTATAGCAAAAAAAACCTCTCAAAAAAAACCAACAAACAAAACAAACAAAAAAAACAAACCAAAAAACCCAACACAGAACATTATGGGGCTAGACAGTGGCATGGTGATTAAGGTGGCTGGATTCCATGTGGCCAATTACATAGTAATCAAGCCCTGAAACCAAAGCCTTGAAAAAACACGTTAAACATGTGTGCATGTGTTTTCAGAATCACAAGAAGAGAATATAGCAGGGATTGCGGCATGGTCATCCGCCCTAAAGGGTGCCTTTTTACCACTGTCCCCTTTCTCTCTCTCTGTTCAGTAAGCATAGGTATTCTATAGCAAGTTAAGAAATAAAGATAAAAACATTGTATAAAATCTTAACATAGGCCTAATTCCACAGCACAGTGGTTAAGCCCTACGTATAGGGAGCTGAATCCAACGTGGCCGACAGTGGTTGAAATCCCAGCCCAGAAACATGCCTGGCACATAGGTGTGTGTGCCCAAGATTCTGCTGGGATTGAAAAATGAAGGAAAGAGAATTATTGCATGACCACACCTCATTGGGGGATACTTTCTCTCTCTGGCAAGTATATGCACCTTCTGGCAACTAAAAAAAAAAATCATAACTGGCTATTTTCATACAATATAAATGAGGTGTTGTGTTCCTAGAGCTACTGAACTTCTTTTACTTTCATGCTTTAAGAATCCTAACTATGTGCATGTATACTGACTAGACCTTTATGAGTCAGGGAGGAGGCTGCAGAAGGCAGGACAGGAGCATGCAGCATGCTGCAGTCAGGGAGACATGAGTCCAGTTTCTGTTTGCTCACTTACTTGCTATGCCAGCACATTTTAGAATAGGACACACACACACACACACACACACACTCCTGCCTATCCTGTTTCATTCACAGGAAGCTTGAGTGTCCCAAGTCCTAACAATAATTGGTGCTCTTTCAGTAATGAGACAACTCCCAATTATACAATGTAATCACATTTTACAGTACAGTCAGAAAATAGCAATGCTCTTTACTTAGTTTTAGAAATATTTAATTTTTATCTATTCATTCATTTATTTTAGTTCAACCAAAGAGAGAAACAGAGAGAGGGAAAGTGAGAAAGCTAGCCATCATGCCCAGGACTTGAACTGTGGTCAACTACTGGCTTCAGCAACGCTCTTTAAGAAGTAGTGAGGCTGGAGGGTAGCATGGTGGTTGGGGCACTGGACTCCCACAAGGCTAACCATGGTTCGAGTCCCAGACCTGACAGCTTGCTTTCTTGCTTTCCCTCTCTCTCTCTCGTCAAATATAAAAAAATAATGATGATGAATAAAACTAAATAAAGTAATTATTTATTAAAAAAAAGAAGTAGCATAGTTTCTTTAGGAACTAGCAGACATGGATGGATCTATAACGCTACAGTCTCTTCAATCTGGGTTCAAGAATTCACAGCTAAGTAATGGCCCTTCCAGGATAAGAGGAGACACAGTACATCCATGTTGATAAACATTTAGAGGGACTTGAAATGTAAAAGTCAATTTGCATATGGATAGATGCTTTCTAAACCAGAGAGATATTTTAGAGACTTATAAAGAGTTTTAAATATCAGAAGGTAAAGGAGAGATGGAAATTTAGCGAGAATTTACTAGTTACAAGAGACCCTGAGGGGTCAGCAGGTGGCGTGGTGGTTAGTGCTAGACTCCCAGTGGCTGACCATTGTTCAAGTCCCAGACCTGGTAGTTTGCTCGCTTGCTCTCTTTGTCTCTCTCTCATCAAATTGAGTAATAATAGTAAATAAATAAAATTAAATAAATAATTCTTAAAAAAAAAAGGAACTGAAAAATCATTTGGTCAATATGCTTTTATCTAGTTAGAACTCAAAATATCTGGAAACATCATTTCTTTTTCCTTTAAAGTTCTAGAGAATAAAAGTCAACAAACTGCTTTAGATGGATATTTCCATGATTAATATCTCATAAAGAGGTTTTATTTAAGCTCTACCTTCTAACATGTAACCTCCTACATCATTCTTCGGAGACATTCAAGAAAATAACATGGTGTTTTCTAAATTAAGAGGCTTCTATACATCTTTGTTTACTTGTATAAATGAGAAAGAGAAATGCTGAAAGACAAAATCAGGGGCCCAGCAGTTGGTATAATGGCTATGTTGCTGGACTCCCAAGTAGTCAATTGTGGTTTGAGTCCTGGGCTTGGTGGCTTAAACTCATGCTGGGCATAAGTGCGTGCATGCCCAGATCCCAAGAGGAGAATGGAAGAGAAGGGATTGTGGTGTGGCCATCCTCCCTTGGGGGTGATTTCTCGCTTTCTGTCTCTCTGTCTCTCTCTTTCTAGTGAGCACATGTGCCCTGTAACAAAAACCTTTCAAAAAAAATTAAAAAAAAAAAGACAAAATCAGGGGGCTAGCAGGTGGCATAATGGTTACGTTGCTGGACTCCAACATGATTAATTGCGGTTTGAGTCCCAGAACTGGTGTCTTAAAACTCATGGGGATGGTGGTGGGGGGCGGGTGACAGGTGGTGTGGTGGTTGAGGGCACTAGACTCCCACATGTCTGACTACGGTTTGAGTCCTGGACTGGGCGGCTTGCTTTCTTACTTCCCTCCCTCTCTCTCTCAAACACTCTGTTGAAAGAAAGAAAGAAAGAAAGGAAGAAAGAGAGAGGGACAAAGAAAGGAAGAAAGAGAAAGAAAGAAAGTTAAATGACATAATTCTTTAAAAAAAGAAAGAAAGAAACTCATGCTGGGCGTGTGTGTGCATGCCCAAAATCCTGAGAAGAGATTAGAGAAGGGACTGCTGTGTGGCCATCCCCCCAGGGGAGTGATTTATCACTTTCTGGTTTTCTGTTGAGTGCACGTGCCTTATAGCAAAAATTTCTCTCTCAAAACAAAACAAAACAAAACAATATCGGATTAAATGTTTTCTCATTTAACGTGACTTTAGAAATATAAATAAATGGTTCTATAAAAAGGTGGCCAACTGAGGTAAAAGAGATTTTCTGGCCTCTGGGCTCTTCAGACATTACCAATTCTGTTTAGGATGGTCTGTTCATATATTGGCGTATTCTACCATACTGTCAACTGGAGGGTATCCACCGAACTTTCATGGTGCTAACACTCGATGAATAAATGAGTTATCAGAATATGAAAGTACACACTATCTAGATAAAGAATGATAGAAATAAGAATCAGTGGTAGACGGGAGAACTAGAGAAATACAGAACGATTTAGCTCTGTCAAATTCTCACAGTAAAACAAATGGGATTTTCATGCTATTAACTATAATTGGCCTGAGAAGGCCTCCAAACTCATATCCTTGAGTTCTTGTAAACAAACCACAACCTCACCGTAAGTCCACTTCCTCAACAAATTGGTGAGTCTTAGCCAATCACAACAGCTGTACTCATCAATCACAGACAACCCACTTTCAAACTGTGTTCATACAGGCAGACATGGAGCTGTAACCAATCCAGCTGTCTCTGTAACTCATTTCCCTCACTTCCATTTTCTTATATTACTTTGCTTCTCTTGCCCATAAAAGTTATTGGACCACATAACACTTTGGAGTTCCTCCAAAGCCATTTTGGGGGCTGTCAGATTCACGAACCATTTTTGCTCAATTAAACTCTGCTGAATAGGATTTCTCTAAAGTTCTTCTTCTTCTCTCTCTCTCTTTTTAAAAAAAGAATTACTTAACTTTTTTTTTTTTTATTATTATCATTTTTAGAATTTACTATAGGGCACATGTGCTCACCAAAGAGATACAGAGAGAAAGACAGATAAAGACAGCAGGGAGGGAACCAGCAGTTAGCGTAATGGCTATGTCACTGGACTCCCACGTAGTCGACCGCAGTTCGCACCCCTGACCTGGTGGCTTAAAACTCACGCCAGGCGCGTGTGCGTGCATGCCCAAGATCCCAAGAGGAGAATAGAGGAGAAGGGATTGCGGCGTGACCATCCCCCCTGGGGGGTGATTTCTCGCTTTCTGTCTCTCTGTCTGTCTGGCAAGCGCACGCACACGCCCTGTAGCGAAAACCTCTCAAAAAAAAAAAAAAACAAAAAGACAGAGTGAGGGAGAGGAAGGGAGGGAGGGAGAGAGAGAGAGAGGAAGCGAGAGCGAGGGCGAGAGAAAGTGAGAAAGCAAGCAGTCTGGTCTGGGACTTGAACTGTGACTGGCCAAACAGGAGTCTAGCACCTTAACCACTACACAACCTGCTGGACCTTAAAGCTTTTCTTTTAACAGTGCTAAAGAACTTCTAGTTTCACAAGGGTGCTCACTTGAGCATAAGGAATAAAGGTCCGTGGTAACAGAGGCCAAGTTGTTTGCTCACCTGTTACCTTTTGATCTCAGGCACAGAAGAGCTCAGTAAATATTGGAAGATGGCTGGGACGTGGGTGGATAGATGATGGATAAATGAACAAATGAAAAGCCAAGCTAAGCGGGGAAATCTCAACCTGCAAATTAAAACTCCACTGAAAACTGCCCATCATCTTCCACTAACGGCTGCTCAAGCATACTTTCTTTTTTTGGAGAGGTTTTTTGCTATAGGGCGTGTGCGCTCGCCAGAAAGACAGAAAGAGACAGAGAGAAATCGCCCCCAGGGGGGATGGCCATGCTGCAATCCCTTCTCCATTCTCCTCTCGGGATCTTGGGCACACACGGACACCGACATTAGTTTAAGCCACCAGGTCCGGGACTCAAACTGCAGTCGACTACATGGGAGTCCAGCGACAGCCATTATGCTAACTGCTGGTCCCTCAAGCATACTTTCAACAATGGTTTTATTACTGTTTCTAAATAACGAGTCAGATTTACCTGCTCTGTTCGAAACCTTTATTATTACGATGATAATAATAATCATCGTAATAATAAAAAATCAGGGTTGGCAGGTGGCATGGTAGGTAGTTAAGGGCGCTGGACTCCCACATGGCTGATGGCGGCTTGCTTTCTCACTTTCTCTCTCTCTCTGGTCAAATGAAAATAAATTTAAAAATAAATAAATAAATAAAGTTATATAAAAATAATTCTTTAAAAAAAATCACAAAACTAAGTATAATGGAGAATGTTTTCTATGAGGCTAGATCCAGTTATTTCCATCTGTATTGTCATAATTCACTGTTCCTGAGTGACTTTAGCCTTGGATGCAGCATGAAGTAGGTTTCTGACAACTGTGTGGAGTGCTCGGTTTGCTTCACTGTCCTCTGATTGCCTCTTATCATCATGCTGGACATCTGTCCCTCCTGATGACCAAACAATGGTCACTGCACACCTGGAAGCAACTGCACTGTCTATTCAGTTGTTCTATTATGTTTACAGACTGTTTGCTTCTTTGTATCACTGAGTGAAACAGACCATGAATCACAGGCTATTAAATAAAATTACCATGTAGGTGTACAATCATTGCAGGGACTGGAGAACAAAAACATAATTGTGCATGAGTTTTGCTATGTGTAAGGGTTTCTTTAAATGGTTTTTGAAAATGTCACAAAAGAGAGATACAATAATGCTGAGTGAGGAGGCACAAAACTGTGTTGTATCTATTATTTCAAACATAAGAGTAAAATTATTACCTCTGACACACTGCTTGATGGCTAAAAAACACACACATATTCATCATCTCGCTGACTTTCAAAATGAATCTGAGAAATACACAGGCCATGTGTTTGAATCTCCATTTTACAGAGGAAAGACTAAGACTTTGATACGTTCTTGGATTTAAACTCAAACATGCCAGTATAGGGACCAGCAGTTAGTGTAATGGCTATGTTGCTGAACTCCCATGTAGCTGACTGTGGTTCAAATCCCGGACCCAGTGGCTTAAACTCATGCCAGGCACATGTGCGTACGTGCCCAAGATCCCAAGAGGAGAATGGAGGAGAAGGGATTGTGGTGTGGCCATATCCCCTCGGGGGGAGGGGGGGTGATTTCTCGCTTTCTATCTCTCTCTCTGTCTTTCTGGCAAGCACACACACCCTATAGCAAAAACCTCTCAAAAAATAAACAAACGAACAAACAAAAACAAACCATGCCAGTACATGTGTATATATGTCTTGGTGCAGGATAAGAACCTCGCTCTCCTAATTTTCAGGTTTATGTAGTTTATAATTCAGTTCATCATCATGGCTTTAAGGCTTGTGGGATAAGCATCATTTTCTCTCAGTAAATGCAATGTCATGGTTGTACCTGGTTTGCTTCCTGAGGGGTTGTTATTTTGTCCTGAAATTGCAGTGGAAGGGCGATTGGAGGCAGTTTTCTTATCTTGCACTTTGTAGCTGTCAGGTGCTATATAAATGAGACAAAAGAGAAAAAGCATATTGAGTTTCTTCAAATTTATTCAAAAACATTAATCTATTCAACATTCCCTGTTCAACATTTCCTTGTTTGGGGTACTAGGCTAGACTCAGGAAATGAACAGATATAGTACTGGGTTGTTGGAAAAGTCATGACACATTTATGCAAGGAAAAACAGAAAAAACACCTCATGACTTTTCGAACAACCCCACAGTCAAAACCTCTACCATTTTTCTTTTTTTCTTTTCTTTTTTTTTTTTT